GTAACCATGTATGGAACGATGAGAACTAGAGATGGAAAATGGAGAATGACTTAAAGCACCAGTAAACCATATATTGGCCTGCAGGTGTCAGCATGAAACCCCCAACACTTCCGAGGCCGTCGATTTTTTTTTCAACGGCAGGCATGGCCGCGCGGGCCTCCGAGTTTTGCTTGTGGCGACAAAAACTTTCTGCAAGGCTGGGGCCGTGTACTAGCGGTTTAAGACCGGTCCTGAGGGGGCACCACCACCTACAGAAAAAAACTTGGAGGAGGTAATAGACAGTGTGCCGATAGCCTGGAGGTCGCTTTTGAACAAGAATAGAACATGGAAAAAAGGGAGAATGGGCTACATTGAAAATTCAAGAGGTGTCCCCAGCAGCCCTGCGCTTCAAAGCATATTCAAGGACGGATACAAGCCTAGCCATTTTTTAGGTGTATGAACTAGGGCTCACAGGTAAAACAATCACGATGGTAAGCAGAGAAAAAATCGAGAAACCGAACATATTTGTACCAATACCACTGACTTCAAAGTTGCAGTGACCTCCCTAACACAACGTATGTTTGTTAGCAACTTAGCGGTCATCCTCCCAGGGTCGTAGCTACAGGCTGGACTGCACATCTGTGTGGGCGGCAGTCTCGACTACCCACTCAAGTCACACGTCTCCCAAACTGGTTTCGCCGCATGGTGAGCTGGGCATTTGCTCACCACTGCCCCCTACCCAAAAAAAAAAAAAAAGAAAGAAAAAAATAAAAAATAAAAAAAAATCTCCCTACCGGTCCCTCTGAATTCTAGGTGCCTCTTGCCCCCATCTTGTTATCTTCCACACTCTCTCTGTCTTCCCCCTCTGTGCTATTCTTAAAAGTAGGCCCTCTCCACGAGTGTATATTTTTAACGAGCATTTTGCGGGTTTTCGGATTGGTCCTCGCTCCGCCAAGAATGCGGTAACCCATCCCTTGCAAGCATGGTGCTCCCATAACTTTTTCTCATGCCACACATCTTCCAGGATTGCCGCTCCGTGCATTTCCTTCCTGGCGCTTTGGGGGCCACTGTCCATTCTTCGCATGAATCCTGCTTATTGCTTGTAGTGCTTAGGAAAACGGCACCCTTCTTCCGGAAATAATCAACTAGTTTTGCGAGGGACATAGATTAGTCGTTGTTGAACTCTGACGCTTCAGGATTTCTTGTTTTACGTAAGGTTGGCATTGATATAGGAAGCACAGTTGATATGGACCAATCTTCCTCCCTTTCCCTAGTTCTTCGCTGATGTTATCATTGGTTAATGCGATTCGGAGCCGTGTTGGTTGATCCTGGAAGTCTGCAGTAGGATTGCACGCAGGGCCATGGGGTCTTCATGAGGTCATACCGGGAAGGGAGGTGGTCCTGCCTTCTATGGTGGAGTTTCAGTTTGCGGTGTGGCAACCCAGTTGTGCTGATGTTGTGAAAGGCGCTTTCACATGTCGGCAGATGGTGGCTGGCTGACAGGGTGGTCAGCCTTCGGATCACTTTGAGAGGGACTGCCATCCCATAGGAATAAGAGTTATCCGTGAGTGAACGCTGGCATTGGAATTACTCTGAAGAGATGATCGGGTTATTTCAACTTATTTGCCATATTAAAGCACACCGGTACACCCGGGCCTGGAGGCGGTGCACTGCGCGCCGAGCTGTTCGGAACCGCCAGCAGCGCACTTTTTTCCTTTTCTGGCTGCCACCAGCCATGATGGTGTTGTGGTCCGGGAACACCAAGCCCCGAAAAGTTCGCAGTGGGCAACTCGCAATGTTCTGCAAGCCCGGGCCCATGTACTGGCTGTTTAAGGGTTCCCCCCAATTGGGATATTCGAGACTGCCAGCGCACTAGTTGGTTGCCTTCTATGCATAGCGCTGCTCCCTATGATGGTGCCTTCCGTCGGTTTTTCTCTGTTCTGTGGATATTCGAACGAGTGGTTGGCAGCCGCTGTCCTGTTTTGAGGTTGTTCTCAGAACATTCGCTCGGATGATTCCTTGTGCGAATATAGTTGTTACAGTTTGTTTTCATGCAATAGGTTTTCTTTCGCTCTTTGGATAACTTTAGTATTTATTACTGATTGCTTCACTTTGTTTGATCTACTGATTGCTTCACTTTGTTCGATCTCGCCTCTTTTGAACTGCATTTTCATGAAAATTGAGTGTTTTCCCATTTCGCAATTCGTACTTGAGTCACCTGAAGACGTCATCTGCCCTGTGCGATAATGGCCATATTTTGGGACGAGTGGTAGTCTCATGAATGATCACTCATCCCAAAAAATGGCCTTCCCCGACAGGCCAAAACGACCTCTTCAGGTCACTCAAGTACAAATTACGAAATGAGAAAAAAAAACTAAATTTCAACGAAAACACAGTTTATAACTTTAGTTTGATTTGGTGAGAGAGATGGTTAATGGCAGGCCAAAAATTCGGGGGGGTTTCACCGCACCACCACAAGCAATGTCGTGAAAATTTTCGTGAACAAACAATGCAAGCTCATAATACAAACATGAAAAAAAACAAACAGGCAACAAAAAACAAACAAACAACAAACAAACAAACAAACAAACAAACAAACAAACAAACCCTAACAAGTACTATAAAAACCTATTCCGAGCAGCTTTCAGAGTTTGCCTATTTTTTTTCCCGAATTCGGTGTTTTTGCCAACTTTTTCGTTAGCGGTCCAAATGCATCGAAACTGAATACAGATATACCCTAAAGCACATACATATACACACACACACACACACACACACACACACACAAAACAAAACAAAACAAACAAACAAACAAACAAACAAACAAAAAAAAAAAAAAAAAAAAAAAAAAAAACCCATCAATTTGGGAAATATGGCAGTTTCGGTGAAAAATTCACTGAAAATGACACCACCTATTAACCATATTGTTATGATCCTGGCCAATTTAGAGATACACGTTTATCAGATAGTACAATGCCGCCCAATTGCAGAAAGAAATGAATGAACTTGAGAGGAGAGAGAGGGTTAGAAGAAGAAGAAGAAGTAACTTCAAGTAAGAAAGAAGAAGAAGATGATGTACACCAGCATAGACAAATGATGAAGCTCTTCTTCTTCGCCAAACTCTCTCTTCCTCCTTATCTCCTCCTCTCTTATTCACATAATAAAAACGAAAACCGGAAGCACAAGTTTTTGCTGGGCGACTTTAAAGTTCAGATATGATTTATTTCTTTTTCAGTTATGATTTAAAAATCTTCAATTGTTGTCAGTGTGTAAGTTAGGTGCCACTGGGGCTATGTCCCACTACAGACTATTTACCACGCGGCCGTTTGGTTTCCGATCACGTGTGGCCAAGGGTGACACCTGCAATCCGTCGACGCAAAGTCATCTGAATGGCCGCCAAGATTTGGAACTGTCTATCCCGATATCGGCATGTGTCTGCCAATGAGAGACAAAGAAACAGTTTGTATTATGCTTGATTTTTTTTCGGCATCCACGAGGACGCAATATCAAGGAGGTCGTGAGGTGGGGGTGATATTGCATCGAAGCGGCCCTTAACTTTTAAAGGAAAAAAGGCAGAAAAAGGCCGTCGGTCATTGTAAAACGAAAATCTTACAGGCCGATGACATCCTGTGTCAGCAGATCACGGAAGGTCCCACGAACTTGCGCGATGAGACTTTTTGGATTGTATTTGGGGTTTGTTAACATGCATGGTATGGTGTTTGTTGTACTCCGGGCAATCCGACCACATACATGTGGTACATCTACGTCTTTGAGGACCGCCACTTGTTCGCCCTTTCCTAATCTGGAAAGTCCCATCGAGATGTGGAAACGGATGGGTCTCACGGCATGTTCGCCTTTTCCATCTGTTTTGCCATCTTCGTGTCCTTCCCTCTGTCGGGATGTAGAGGCCCATTTCTGAATGTCCACTTCATGCCCTTCCCTCTGTCGGGATGTAGAGGCCCGTTTCTGAATCTCCACTGTTACGTTCACGGAGAGGTTGGCATGCCGTTTGACCTTCGGCGTTGCTCATCAGCCATATACACGGCTGTTCTTCTCCCCGTGCGCTGCTTCTGGCAGCCAGTGCCGTGACGTCTCTGCTTCCACCTCACTCCATCACTGAAGCGCCCTGTTATCATGGCCTCAGGCAGCGATCCGGTGGGACTGTCCTGCATACAGGACTGAGTGTATACGGAATCCCAGTACTGAACACCACGTGCACACAATGCACCACCTGCACGTGGACAATGAGGACTATCCACGCAGCTTCCCGTTGCACCTGGTTGGGAATGTGGGTTGTCCAACTTACCTGGGAGTGAAACCCAGTGGCCCTCGGAAGAGTGTGCAGGTATACAAGTCCCATCATCCCTGCCTCCCAGGACACCCGAGGCTCTTTGCAGGCCTGTCGTTAGCGGGGTTCCATGGTGGGACCCCGCTTCCTCACAGGTTCCAGAACCACATGATGTCACGGGCAGGGTGGCAGATGTCCCAGAAAGTGATTCTGGGACATCGGTGGCTGGGTTCTCTACACCGATTCAGCCCATTGCTGGTTTCTCTTATGGGGTTGGTGGTGAAGACTTTCCCTTCTCCTCCTCCACGTGACAACTGTCAGGGTGGGTCTTCTGGTTTGTCGCCCAGCAGTTCTGCCAACCACGTTAGCAATGCTTCTCTTTCACAGAGGGGGGGGCCTGCCACCCCATCACTGGTGTCAGAAACGGCCGGATGGACAGGTGGGTCCTCTTCATGTCCGCCAGGAGATGGCTTTCCTCTTGCGGCACCAGGTGTGGCATCACAGCAGCACGTTCCATCGGAGTACGTGATGAACCGCCTAATCCGTGAGATTGAGGTTGGCATTTCCCCTGCTGATAATGCTACAGAGATTGCAGCGGCCGGCAATGTCGGTGGCAATGTACCTGCCCCTTCACGCACACCTCGTCGCCAATCCGACAATCCGATGCCTGTGGCCCGCAGACCCACCCGGGCCGGTGGGAGCGGTCCCTCTACCGAGAGCCGTTCGGGAATAGTCCGTGATGCACGAAGCTCGCCTGCTGCATGCCCCCAAGGACAGCAAGGTCACGCATGTCCCTCTGGGGGGAGAACGAGACTGCGTGGTTGTGCCGGTTCTGCAATGGCGTGAAGTTGCTGATGATTAAGGATACGGAGGCATACGGACAGGCAGGTGTGAAGGGAAACTTCTGAAAGTTCGTGGAGGCGCGCATGAAGGAGAAGGGTTTCAATCGCGATCGCGCGCAGTGCAAGAACAAATTCAACCAAGTCATAGAGTACTACTGGAGACTGAAGTGTCATGAGCAATGGTCTGGACTTCCGAGCTACTGGGACATGAACACGACGAAACATAAAAAGTACAATGTCGATCTCGTACTCCATCGAAGTTGGTATGACATCATCGACTCCGTTGAAAAGGACACAGACTCTATCAACCTCTCGTATTTGAGGGACAGCGGCGACGACCCGGTACGACAGATGAACACAGACGACATGGCGGACGCAGATGGAGAGACGGAGGGGGTGAGCGATGAGCCAGGCGGCGAAAGTGGCGGTGCGTCCGGAGGTTCACGGTCGATCGCTTTTCACCCCACGCTCGGCAAGCGGAAAAGAGCAGCCACCAATGCGCGTGAGGCGAGCGTGCAAGCCGTGACAGGTGCAATGCGCGACCACACAACTGCACTCACACGATTTATCGAGAGTGTGCCAAGATGCGATGCGACACCACGCGTGATGTGGCAAAGCAACAGGCTGAACTCGCTACACAACTCATGCAGCAGGACGTAGCTGCACGTGAGAGGGTTGCCACTACTGTTGGGGACAGGGTGGAGAGTGGATACAACCGCCTGGCAGATGCCATTCTGATGATGCGTTCCCGAAGGCCAAGTCGTTCGTGTTATGATCCCCTTTCCAATGGGTCTGAGTAAGGATGTCCTCTTGATTTTTTTAAGAGTAGCTCCTTCTTGATTGTTAGAAGAGTAGTCTTTTTGCGTGATGTTATGCTTAACTTCCTATTTAGATCGGCCTCTCTCTCTCTCTCTCTCTCTCTCTCTCTCTCTCTCTCTCTCTCTCTCTCTCTCTCTCTCTCTCTCCTATTTAGATGGTTAGAAGCCAAGTCACCACCTCACAGCCTTGTCGGGTTTTGCTGTGAAGTGTTTTTCTGTTTCGTTTCTGAGCGAATGTCATTTGCGATGAACAGAAACAAGTGTGTATATTTCGTGCATATGCTTAATTAGTGCCGTTCACAGACGCTTTGATTGTATCAAGGTACAGTGTCCGAGCTTCGTCTCTCTCTCTCTCTCTTCTCTCTCTCTCTCTCCAAATTCATTGTATTTATTCATTTCTTTGTTTTTGAAATCATACGGGAAGTGGACATGCAAATGCGCGTGGGCGTGTGTCACCCCGTGCTTTTTCCTTTCGTTTCGAACTGCTGATCTCCATCGGGACCTTTGAAGACAGTGTGAAGGTAGTGTGTCACGCAGTGTTCATCGACATTCTCCACGTGTGAAGCCACGCTTTTTCCCATGCTGTGAAACCATCAATCCCTGAACTAGTCTGCCATTATAAAGATTGGAAAGGCACAATGTCGATTGAAGCCATGCAGTGGCATCTGTGAAGACTTGCTCAGACTGCATGTCCCTCTGATGGAGCTTTCACACACCGCACGCCTTGGTCGAACGAATCGTTGTGGAATTCCCACTCTCTCTCTCTCTCTCTCTCTCTCTCTCTCTCTCTCTCTCTCTCTCTCTCTCTCTCTCCAAATGCATCGAATGTTTATTTATTTCTTAGTTTTCGAAATCATACAGGAAGTGGACATGGAAACGCTTATGGGCACGTCTCAGCCCATGCTTTTTCGGAATGTTTTGATCAACCGATCCGTGACTTTTCACAAAACATTCGATGAACACCGTTCTGTCGTGCGGCGTTGATGGAGCCTCTCCATCAACGATGCCATGCTCTTGGAACAACAAACCATCCATCCATCTATGTATATAGTACTACATACACAAGAAAGGGATTTTTTTTCTGTTTTTTTCCCGTACGGAAAGTAGACATGGTAAGGCAGGTGTCAAGCGACACAAAGAGGCTGGTGTTCGAAAGCGAAAGCATTGGAACACTTGCCACAGGAGATCTCAGTTCCGACCTGGGACTCCACCCCCGCTTTCCTAAAATCCTTGGCACACCCCTTTTCGCACTTCCGGGCCCCCATCCCACTCCGATCAGGAAGTCGCGCCGGGCGTGAGGTTGGGGCGCCACAAGACTGCCCTTGACTATGCATATAGGCCGAACGAAGGTCACCGCCGGCTCTTTTGTACCCAGCTCGTCGCACGGACTCGTGCTGTTTAGCGCACAATAAGGTGATATGACACTAAACACAAAATTGGAAAAAGGTATGCATACTCGTCTCTAAGTCATCCATCCGTCAAAAACGGATGAACAAAGAAGGGCAAGGAAGAAAATAGGGAGCAGGAGGAGGAGGATCGAGTGGCAGCAGGGAGGAGGTTTTCCACGGATAGAAAGTGACACCTACTACACTCCTTTTTCTTTTTTTTTGGTACACCTAGACTTTCACTTCTGCAACCAGTGTGTTGCGAGCAGGCAAAAAGGACAAGAGGACTGCGCCTGCAAATAAAAATGCCATTTACCTTCCTGGTCAAGCTTGGCGCCCACCACCTATAGAAAGGCCGTTGGTTCCCCCCAGCGGCATTGAGCAGAGACTGCTGAAGGCACAGCGACTGGCCAATCGCAGAGGCGCGGTCCTGGTGCTACTGGCTACGCCCCCAGCCGGTATCGCCCACCTGCTGAAGCAGCTATCGCACCTGGCCGCTGGTGGGTGCAGATCCCACATGTTCCCTGAATCCCTGGTTGAATACGGTTGTGGATGCTACGGGGTGGATGCTACGGGGTTCCCCATAATACTATAATGATAATAAAAAACGCCCGAGGGGCCGTCCTGTCCAGATTTGACAGGTAATTAAATTGGTTGGGGAGCCATAAAAACTATTAAAAAAAAAAAAACAAAAAAAAAAAGAGTCAAATACGGATGAACAAAGAAGTGCAAGGAAGAAGATGGGGAGCAGGAGGAGGAGGATCAAGTGGCAGCAGGGAGGAGGTTTTACACGGATAGAAAGTGACACCTATAATATTTTATTCTTTTTTGGACCACCAGTACCTTTGCCGCTTGGAAAACAGCGGGACTCGGGTAGGCATCCGACCTTTGCAGCGGCCGAAACGAAACGACGGCCGCCGATCAGATTTATCAACAGTAGTCATCGTCGGGCCTGACCTCCGGAAATTCAGGCGCTTGGGAAAACTGCCAGTTTTCCCTATTTTCCCACGCAGGAAAGGTACTGGTGTGTGACTTTCAATTCTGCAACCAGTGCGAAGTATCAGCACATCAGTTTAGTAGTTTACCCTTCTTCTTTCTCAGACATTTCCTGAGGAGATTAACTGATGAAATTGCCTATTTGTGATATACTGCCAAGTGAAATGAGCCAAGTACTCGTCAAGTTCTCACATAGATCAATGAACATGCACATGAGAATTCACACGTGAGAAGCCAGATCGAGGTGCAATCAACACTTGAAGACGGTGTCTCCAATATTATTATCAATATACAACAATGTTTGTGTCTAGCGGCTACGGATCTCAACCAGATAGCGACTATGGCTTCTCCCCTCTCCTCTCTCTCTCACTCTCTCTTCTCTCTACCCTAGACCGTTACCCTGGACACACCCACTCAGGTTACACCTTGGCGGCTATGGCCACCTTCCTCCTGCTCTACCGCTAGCCTAGCTATGGAGTATCTCTCAAGCGCCCTCTTCGTCTTCGGACGCACAGTGCCTAAGTTGCCTTCACACACAAGTAGCAGCAGCGCTTCCGCATCTCACAACTGAACAAGCGACGAGTCGCTGCACTGTAGCAGCTAAATACAGGACTTGGCTTGGCTTGGCTTGGCCTGCTTCAGACCGGTACCGGGCTGCCGCGGCCTGTCTGCTGCAAACATTTTGTCGGTCCGGTAGCTTTCACACTTTCCTGTGACATGCTGCAAAATTGGACTTGGGACTGTCGGACTGGACTGGACAGGACACTTCTTGTTACGGACTCAGCAAGGGCTCTATCCCTGGTCCGCGGGTTACCACCCGCCAGGCTGCTATTTTTTTTTTTTTTTAGTCTCTGATCTCCGGTTCCTGACTGTTGGCGCCCTCTGCAGTTGGCGCCCGTTCTCAAATCCCGCCTCTGGCACTTTCGGATTCCGATACGTGGCGCCATCCGGCATTCTGGCACCCAGGCTCAGACCTTCGATTTTCAGTTCAGCCCCGAGGCAAATTACACTTCTGCCCTCCGACTCAACTTGAGTCCGGTACTAGACCAGACTCAAGCTGAGTTCGGGCATTCAGTTTTCGGCCTCAGTGCCTGTGCTTCAGTGTGACTTGCTGCAACATTGTGTACGGAACCAAGATTGCAACTTTGCGACTTTGCCACTTTGTGTCTGTGTCCGTCGAGTCGTGTCGATTCCGTGTCGAGTTGACTGAGTGTGTGTGTGTGTGCTCGCACTCCCTCCCTCTCTCTTCCCCAACCTCAGCCCCGTCACACTTCTGGTTTCTTGTCGGGTGCCGGACGGACTCCTACCGACCTATGACGGTTTGGCCTCTAGCCCCTACGCTCTACCCTATGGGACGGCCCTGGGACTTGGGACTTGTCGGGACCCTGGGACCGGGACTAGGTGTCTGCAGCCAAGTACTCGTCAAGTTCAGCCTTGCATACATCAATGAACATTCACATGAGAGTTCACACGTGAGAAGCCAGATCGAGATACAATCAACACTTGAAGATGTCGTCTCCAGCGGCTCTGCCGCACACACACACACACAACGGATCTCAACCAGATAGCGGCTATGGCTTCTCCCCTCTCATCTCTCTCTCTGACTTGACTCGCTCTGCCTCACTCTCTCTCGTCTCAGGTAGCTTACACCTTGGCGGCTATGGCCGCTGTCCTCCTGCTCTACCGCTAGCCTAGCTATGGAGTATCTCTCAAGCGCCCTCTTCTTCTTTGGGTGCACAGTGCCCAAGTTGCCTTAACGCACAAGCAGCAGTAGCGCTTCCGCATCTTGCAACTGAACAAGTGATGAGCCACTGCAATGTAGCAGCTAAATACAGGACTTGGCTTCACTTGGCTTGGGTTGGCCTGCTTCAGACCGGCACCGGCCGGCCGCGGCCTGTCTGCTGCAAACATTTTGTCAGTCCGGTAGCTTCCGGACTTTCCTGGGACATGCTGCAAAATCGGACTTGGGACTGTCTGACTGGACTGGACGCTTCTGGACTTTTCTTGTCGGGTACCGGACGGACTGGACTGGACGCTTCTGGACTTTTCTTGTCGGGTACCAGACGGACTCTTACCGCCCTACGACACTTTGGCCTCTAGCCCCTACGGCCTACCCTACTGGACGGCCCTGGGCCTTGGGACTTATCGGGATCCTGGGACTAGGACTAGATGTCTGTAGCATGAAACCTTTCACAAGTCTACCAGGCAAGGGAATCCACCATGTGCGAAAAACTTACGGGCGAAGTCGCAAACTGAGTACTAATCAACGGTGGCAGCGCTGGGCTCTGTATCACAATTGGTGGAAGTTTCAAAGATAACGAGTAGGGGAAGTCGAACCCTATGGCGACAGCTATGTCCCCCTATATCACTATGTGAAGCACAGACCAAACAAATAGAGGTAAGCTCTGAAGATGGGAAGTACAGAGAGAGAAATAAGTAGGGAGAACCCCACCAAGAAGTAGAGAGCCCACTGGCCGACCCCAATAGACTGCATAGGACTTTTCTACTGAATGACAAGTATGTCTGAGAACACACACACGGCATTTCATCTGACTTCACCCCACCCAGTTTTCATGATGAAGCACAGTAGTCATCTGTGTGAGTGGAACTACTAGGGCAAAAAACAACAAACAAAGACAACAGGGGGAAACAAACAAACAAACAAAAGAGTACCCCCGAGATCCATCACGGACCGAGCGGTCAAAATGGCCACCTTGGCCAGCCACAGGTGGGTCACGCTGCACGATGGACCGAAGGCAAAGGAGTCGGTGAGATCCAGATCTGAAACAATTTGTGGTGGACAATGTGGCATCAGAAATGTGATTGCATCGGAGTGTAGAAATCCGTTTTCCAGTTTACATGGTTAACAATAAGCAGGAAAGAGAAAATAGGACCAAAACTCACTTGCTGACATGGCAATATGCCACGTCGGCTAAAGCAATATGCTCAGATTCTCTCCTCTCTCTCTCTCTCTCTCTCTCTCTCTCTCTCTCTCTCTCTCTCTCTCTGTCTCTGAGCCGCTCTTCCCCTTAAACCAAAGTTTCTACCCCTGATTTATGGAGTTACACATTTCCAGATTCCCTCCTTGCCAACCCAGTCCTCCACGTAAAGGAGCTGCAGGTGCCACAACAGCATCAGAAAACTCCATATCAGCCAATGCTCCACTAAAAACGAATGAAAATACTTCTTTCTGCCCTTGCGATAGTGAATACATCACAAATGCAGTGGCTTGCAGCTCCCTTGATTTTCTCAACCAACAACCTTCATCCATCCATTCATTCCCACCCAAGCATCCACAGATCTACCAATTTAGGTAAATGACCGACTGTATGCCTCATTCCACGAAATCGAAACCCTCCTCATTACAACAAATCCATTACAACGCAATTTAATCCACAACAAATGACGACAAATAAAGACCAACCACCTCCACGTTTTCTCCTTCTATCTCTTCGCTTCACAAGCTCCCTTCAGAAGCTCTCGTCTTCTAAAAGGTGTGCTTACCCTGTGCCCCTTGCTGGAATACTCAATAACTTCAACTTCATCACATCTTCTGATACTGACCCTCTTCTGATACTGACCCTCAGGGAATCAGCTTCAGGTCCTAGTCTTGCAAGGTTGGCGGTAGAATCCTCCTCGAATGGTTTTTGCAAGATGGGATGCGCCGATTCCCTCTGTCTCCTCCGTCTCCTCCGTCACAGTTTACCTCTGTCTCCCTTGTCTGCCTTTCTGTTAGCTCGTACTATGAGTGAACCCTCCTTGCACCTCGTCGTCACCTGCACAGCAAAGCCTACTCCGTAGCCAAGCAGACACCGCACTTGTGCCTTCTGCCTCAGACCCCCAGCAGCTTGGACTCTTTGCCTCTGGGGATAAACATAGTACCCCGTAGCCAAGTAGATACCGCACTTGTGACTTCTGCATCAGACCCCGAGCAGCTTCGACTCTTTGTCTCTAGGGACCCCTCAGACCCCCAGCAGCTTTTTGGCTCTTTGTCTCTAGGGACCCCTCAGACCCCCAGCAGCTTTTGGGCTCTTTGTCTCTAGGGACCCCTCAGACCCCCAGGAGCTTGGGCTCTTTGCCTCTCGGGATCACATAGCGAAGCCTACCCCGTAGCAAAACAGATACCGCAAGTGTGCCTTCTGCGTCAGACCCCAAGTAGCTTGGGCTCTTTGTCCCTAGGGACCCCTCAGACCCCCAGCAGCTTGGGCTCTTTGTCACTAGGGACCCCTCAGACCCCCAGCAGCTTGGGTTCTTTGTCTCTGAGGACCGCATAGCGAAGTCTATCCTGTAGCCAAGCAGATTCCGTACTGGTGCCTTTTGCATCAGACACCCGGCAGCTTAGGCTCTTTGTCTCTTGGGAGCGCATCGGAATCTGCCTCGGCTGCCTGCACCATGCTTCACCCCTCCCCTCACCTTCCTTGGTTCCTAAAACTGCCCCTCTGCATCCTCTCTGCATTCTAGCCCCAAACCCTCTCATTCTCTAATTTACAATACCTGGGCTCTGCCTTGACCATTTCAAACAATGGCTTAGCAGCCAGTCAAGATTTGATTTTCCCCAAACGAATATAACAGCCAACATTTGTTGATCGTATATACAAAATGGATATAAATGGCGAAGAAGAAAATACGTGGAAAAGCGATGAAGACAGACATGAAACCACGGATGGGAAGCTTATAGGCCGGAGTAAAAGACGGCAGGCTGCACGGACAAGGAATGTGAAATTTGAAAAGTCGTCCTCATGCAGGCAAATAATACCAAAGAGAAGAGAAGGTTGCTGCCGTCGTCAGGACAGGATAGACAGCTCAGAGTTTTTGTATCTGGTACTGTCAAAAGCAGAGACTGTTCTGCAGGAAAACCTATCCTCCAGTCCGGACAACGCACACAACGACAGACTTTGCCCAATTATCTATGTCGCATATATCCATGCTCATGAATAGACTCTCTCTCTCTCTCGCTCGCTCGCTGTGCATTGAGATGCAGAATTTGTGAAGGAAGAGCATATCGAGCTTCTCCCCCCCCCACCTCTCCCCCTACCCCGGGGCAACACCCCCCACCCCGGTTGTCTTTGTCTGGACGTTGTCTCCCTGAAGGAACCGACAATACCTACGCATGAGAGAGTCGGACGGGGAAGAAAAAGAACCCCGTCGCAAGCTGGAGCACCAGCCAATCCTTGTGTTTAAGAAGGCTCCCAACCGCCGACGGGCAGGTCCTTAAAAAAACAGGGGTTGTCTTTTAAGGAAGGAACAATGATGAGCGAACCAGAGCAAAGTGAACAGAAAGTGGGAAACAAAACGAAAACACGAAAGGGGTTTTCTGCAATCAGCCAGCTATCTGGTTGGTAGTCATGACGCTCGAGGAACCTTTGTTCCCACTCCGTCTGAAGCTGATAGAACAAACAAGGATGGAGAACAAGCCCAGGAAAGGACACGGCCATTGTTCTTTCCCTCCTGCCCAGCGAAAGGCATAGACTTTCTGGAAAACTACTGGTCTCTGTACGTAGTCCAATAGACTACTATCGAGTGAATGGAAACGGTGATCCATGTACGATTAAATCCATGGCATGCGTTCACGGGCGGTCCATGGGTGATTATCACCCTCACAGACTGGAGAGCAAGCGAGCTTGATATCCATGTCACTACGTTGTGAGACGGAGATAGATGGAGCGAGGCCACCTTCACATGATTGCAAGTGGGGAATACGACAGTGAATTTCATTCATCAGATGCAAGTGGGGAATCTGCAGTGAGGCAACGGAGCGACTAACCGGAGTAGCTGTACAGCAGCCGTAGGGAGAACGAGAGGATCGAACAGACAGGCAAGGAGAGGAAGGCGAGTACTAGACGAGGGGCGCAAGGAAAAGATCGCGCAAGGAAAAGATCGCGCAAAGAATGCAATACAAAGAATCATCTTCATTCTTCGGATCCGACTGGATCAAAAAAAAAAAAAACCGAACACGACAGACCGGAAAAACACCAATACATCCCAATCCCAATCCCAATCCCAATCATCACCGATAAGCCGCTCGCTCCTTCGAGCCAGAGCACCAGCTGACCTCCCCGTCCACACGAACGGGCGACCACGCGCTGTCGGCGGCGGCCCACCACCGACTCGCTCTCATTTCCTGCAGACACACTGCAGTACACTACACCCACCCCCGACCGAGGCCCCACTTGGACGACTTCGCTCCCCGCCGTCATCCCCTG